GAACCACCACAGCACCACACCACATCCACAGGGGGGGGGAGGGGGGCACCGCAGCGCAGCACCACGCCACGCCCACCTCTGAACCACCACAGCACCACACCACATCCACAGGGGGGGGAGGGGGGCACCGCAGCGCAGCACCACGCCACGCCCACAGGGGGGGGCGGGGGGGACCATCGCGCGGGGGGGGGGGGCCCAATGGCATCAGCATTGGGGGGGAGGGGGGGGGGGGGGGAAGCCCTGGACCATATATCCGCGGCCGAAGTTCGTCCCGGGCCCGCGACATGTCCCCCTTCCCCGCGCAATCCCGCTCAATCTGGCGGAATCGGGCTGCATCCTAGGCTTCATATGGACCTAATCGAGCTCATCCCCAATGGCCCCCCAGTCTGGCCACGTGGCACATTATCGATTCCACGGAGACCTCCTATGAGTTGCCTCCGAACTTTCCTCCGTGGCGAGGAAAGGCGAGGGGCTTGGGCGCACACGCACGTCGCCCTGGTGCGAGCGCGTGCGGATCCAGGCTCGCTCTCGCGAGAGGCGCGAGAAGGGGGGCCCAAAAGAAGAAAGCCTAGCCCTGAAGGCGGCAAGTTGGCGTGAGCGATCCCAGCCCCTAAGGAAAGAGGGCCTGGAAGCTATCGCCGCTCGTGGGCCACATTGAGGAGCCCCCGACGGGCGGCCGTCAACACCGACGCGCGGGATGAAGAGCTGGTGCTGGGAAAGGCCACGGGGTCTATCGGGCGCCGCCTGACCAGCCTGTGACCCGTGATGGGCACCTCCCGTCACGAGTCTCAAGTCGGGCCTGTCCCCCTACAGGGGGATTTTCGAAGAAAGATAAAAATACTCAAAAAATGCTCCGAAATTATCAAACAATATTAAACAAATCCCCAGACTATTTTAACTATTTTTGAATAATCCTCCTGTAGAGGGACAGGCCCGACTTAAGGCGAGTCCCTCGCCCTTTATGGGGAAGCAGAGGAGCACCAATACCGCCTCCCTCGGACCTCTCCTGGGGTGCCGTCCGCAGAGGACTTCAGGAGAGAGCCCCGCCGTGGTGGCGAGGACTCCCAAGGATCAGCAGTGCAGTCGGGCTGCTGAAATAAGGAACGCCAAATCAGGAACGAAGCCCCCCTGTGGCCTCAAAAAAGCCGGGGTGCACGAGAAGGGCCAGAGGAACAACCGCGGAAGGACGTAAGGAACATCGAGCCCCTCCCGAATTCAAACTGCTCCTCATTTCAGCGTCTTGGCTGTAGCATCGGGACCTCGTCCCCCTCTGACTCGAGGTCCCCCTCTGGTTTCCAACGCGAGAGGGTCATCTCGGGAAGGGTCGGTCTGCCAGGGGGTCGATCGAGCCGCCCCGGACTTCCTACCAAGCCACCCCCACCCAGCCCGAGGTCGCCGTGCGGCTTGTCGGTGTCCAATGTGGGGGGGAGGGGCATCTCGGCACATTGAGAAAACATCATGGAACGCGTACAACCCCCAAGCCTGCGGGTTGGGTGTGGGTGGTCTGGCAACTGGTGTCCCGGAGGGAGAGCTCCGCGCGGGCTCGGCCGCGCCCAGCCTCGAGCGCGTAGATGAACACCCAGACCTCGGATCGAGGAGTCGTCAGATCGAATCAGAACGCTGCGTATTCTACCGTGGGCGCCTTACTTGAAGGGGCCCTGGGACACACACATAAATACACACAGATAACAGGATTCCCCATATTGTCCAATATTTTCGGGGGTTTTGTCTTCCCCCCACTTCCCACATTTTCCCATGTTTTCTGTGGAATCGACGATTAATTTTGTCTGTGCGTTTCTTTCCCTCCTGATTATTACCCATCGGCCTTGGGCGGTCTTCGGCGGTCTCCTGACGGTCTTCGGCGGTCTTCGGCGGTCTTCGGCAGTCTCTGGCGATCTCCAGCGGCCCTCGGCGAGAAAGCCGTTCGACTGCGCTCAACAAGGGATCCATGATCCAACACCGAAGGTTAGGAGGCAACTACTGGGAGGTGTTCGTCGGGAAGATTAAGGAGGATTGAGCCCCATTTGGGAGCTGTTACGCCGATGTGGACCTCGGACTAAGCAGGAGTAAGCCGGATTAAGCTGGATGAAGTGGGATTAAGCCAGATTGAGCGGGATTGATCTGGATTAAGCCGGATTTCGGACCAGGGCGAAAACAGAAATTGACCTCCCAAAAGTTGCATCCGAGCGAAGGCATGCGTGCCGGATCGGGCTGGGTCGGCACGGGGTCGAGGTCGAATCGAGTCGGCCGCGCCAAGACGCACATCAACGCCAATGCAAACATCGGGTCGCATCGGACTGGCCGAAAATTTCAGAACCGGATCGGATCAAGCCGGTAGGAATCGATATCCGTTTCCAGCAGCTATACGGTTAGAGGCTAATTGGATGGAGGGCGGTTCCTTGTCTAAGTAGGGCGATCCCTCGATCCTACCGCAAATGCGGAAACAAAAACTTTGAATTGTGCAACGCTTATACATCCGGAAACCAGTCAATCCTCAAAACGGGGCCATCTGGACACTCTTTTATAATTTGATCATCCTACGTCGTTGCTTTTATTCTAGCTGGAGGGATGGAGGACGGATCCCTTTACAAAACGGGGCCACGACTGAGCAGCAAGCCCACTTGGCGATCGTCATGCACATGGGGCGCATCCAGCAATGTAAGGGACTACGTGTAGGAGCTCGTGGGGGGCGGCTTTTGGGCAGGGGCGTGTATTGCACAATCGACGATGCATGTCCTGTCTTTGCTCTGGTCCTTCTCATCCTCCTCCTCCTCCCCCTCTCTACCCCCCTCCTCCCCATTGTCATTCCCCTGCCTGTTCCCCCAATGGCTTCCGCAGCGGATGGAACACGCGCGCACACATGTTTTAGCGTCCTGGCCCCTGCGCGCGGCAGCAAGGCGTGAACGCCGGAAAACAGCAAACCGCGCGCGCGCGCGTCCAAGCCCGCCCGGGGCACCCATAACCATCTGGGCATGGGTGGCGGAAGAGAGCAGTTCATGGACGAGACTACGGTGTATAGGCTCGACCACAAGAAACCCAACCCTGAACCCCCAGGACGTCCATGACTGTTGGTGCGGGAACGTCACGCTTCATCGCAAAATGTTTCTTGGCATGGGGCCCCACTGTACGCCAACGGGGACTGAAGGCGGGAGGAGCGAAGGATATCAAAAACCAAAAACGCACTGGAAACAGAGGCGTCAACGAACCGCGAAAGCCAGAGAGGCCAGCGCGCAGACACATACACACACACACACACACATTCACACACTTTTTGCGTCGGTGGCTGGGCAGAGGTTACTGCTCCGGCGATCGGGCATCAGTGGGGCGCGCTGGATGCAAAGTGGGCCGCGGTACACGTTGGAAGAGGAGAGGACGCCCGGCACAGACGGGAAGAGAGGAAACCGGGCCCGCTCAGGCAAGTCCCAGCAGCGGCGGGGCGGGCGCCGGGGGGGAGCCAGCTGCGACGCCAGGCAGCAGCTGGGTGGGAAGGCGGCAAGGCGGCCGGGCAGAGCCCAAGGGGGGCACGAACGGGCAAATACGGAACCTCCAGACCTGCCGGTGCGAGATCAGCCCGCGAGATCACCTGCCGGTGCGAGGTCAGCAGACCTGCCGGTGCGAGAGGGAGGCTGACCCAAAGATCCGATTTCGTGATTTATTTTATACACGGTCCACCGAAGTCTCGACCCATTCCCTCGGACCGGTTTTTCATCCTGAGTCGTTTTTTGACGGTCCCGGGGCCTGGCGAGGGCCCCTAGAGGCCGAAAATCTAGAAAAACCTCCGTCTTGTTTGTTCAAGACGTAGGATCGCTGGGGACCGTGAGTAGCAGCAAACGGCTGCACGGAGGAATTGGCCTGTCGCGTGGCCCCACCTCTGGACGCACAGGAGCGTGCAGGGAGGCAGCGTGCGGCGGCGACCCGCCGCGGGCGCCCACCCCCGCTCCTCGCGCGCGCCCTGCCAATGCCCATCGCCCTCCTGCCTCGCCCTTCCTCGTCGCGCCCTCCTCCCTTTATCCTCTCTTCCCCCGTCCTCCCTCCTTGTCGTTCTCGGTCCCTCCCCCGCTTGACTCCTCCCGCTCCCCCTTCCCCACTCCTCATCCTCCCCATCCCAGCCGCTTCGAACGTGCTCGGCAACGGGACGCACACTCACGGCCGATTGAACTCCTGTCGTTGTTGAAGCCGCCCTGCCATTATCCCAGGTCCTTCCTCTCCGACATCGCAATTCTGGGCGTCTCGACCCTTGTCCCGCGCTCGGCTTGTCATGACAAGTTTTGCTGACGATCCAACAAACGGGAACCTGCCTCCAGAGGCGAACAACGAACAACATAACACGTACGTCGCGATTGGTTGTTTTGCGACGCCCTGACCTGAGAGCCCTCACAGTCGAAACGCGTGGGTCGAGAGCACGAGCACCTTCGCGAAGGCCGAAGGCCCCGTGGAGACATACAAAACGACAAGCAGACTCCACGGCGGAGGGCCCGGAGCGAGGATTGCTCTTAACCATCGTGTCACCTTTTGTTTGCTCTTCACTGCATGCTCCTGGAATGCTTAACAAGGCTCGGATCCAACCAGTTGGATGACGCAGGGAAGCGTTCTTGTGCCTGCAGGGAAGAAGGAGGCGGAGGAAGACGAGGAAGAAGAACCGAGACCACGAATAATAACGGAACGCTGCACTGTCCCCATCGACTCCCGCACCCGTTCCAACTGCAGCACAAATCCCTGTCCGTGGGCAACCCCCAGCTGATGTTGCTCCCATCGTACTGAAGGACCACATCCCAGAAACAATTTCGAGCACCCAGAAAAGTGTCAAAAGAGTGTCGAAAGAGTGTCGAAGCAGTATCGGACGAAGGTCTCCCAGGGCCCGACACGTGAAAACCCTTGAGTTTCGGTACTTTTCTTCTGGTGCTCGACATTCTTTCTGGTGGTCAAGGCTAAAGTAGGTTGGAACATCATAACCCCCGGATGTCGCCCCACTGCGACAATAAAGGTGGCGCTGTCGGGCGTCACGTACGTGGGGCTCTCCCGCAGCACGTCCTCGCGGGCGCCGCGTCCCACCCCACTGCGGCACGCTTCCCGCAGCTCCGAGCGTAGACGAGCGCGCTCCGCTACTCGCAGTGTAGCTACTTGCAAATGGCCTGGATCCGCCACAAATGGTCAACGATAGAATATATCAAAGCAGACACGTGTTTGTGGGACGTTTGCGAGTGGGTACTTTGCGAGTAGTGGAACGCGCTCGGCGAGAGTGGGACGCACGAGAACATACCAGTGCCATGCGCCCCCCTGGAGGCGCGCGTCCGAGCCGAACATGTAGCACAAACATATTCTGGATATCGTTCCCCAGGCGGTGTGGTCAGCAAGCGCCTGCAAACGGGCATTTACCACAAGATGTCTGAGCGCGAGCGACGCCACTGGGGTGCTGGCGCACACATAAGGCAAGAATGCTTGGGTGATGCCGACTCAGGGGTGACGACATGCGGGGACAGGCTCAAGGGGGGAACAATTCACTTGGAATCGGCAACATCGGCCCCCGACCCCAGACCCCCTCACGCCATGAACAAAACAGGACGGGAAGGTTAGAGGCCTCCTGGATGGGGTCCGCGTAGATGGGGTCGGAGGGTCGCGCCGCATCGCGGATACATCGGCGATGCATCACCGATGCATCGGCGACGTTGGCGGTGCATCGGCGACGCCGGCGTTGAGAAACTCGGGCTCTACGTCGAGCCGCATCGCCGATGCATCGGCGATGTGGCGCGGTCCTCCGACCGCATCTAGTCCGACCCCATCAAGGAGGCCTAGAAAAATGTTGTCGCTGACCCTTAAAAGTAGCTACGAAGGCCCCCCCTCCGAAATCTTGACACCGCATTCTTATACATACAGACCTTGGCGGTTGTAGCGGAACCGTATTTTTAGCACCGGGCAAATAAACAGAGAAACACAACATCTGCCCACCCCAGACCCTGGCGCTGAGCACATTCACTGAGAGAATCTGCACGAGCTTCACGGATTTAAGGCGGAGCGGTTTCAAAATCTAGCTCTCGCTCCATCGCCGCGTCTTTTCTGCACGAGTTTCGCGGAGTGGCCGATGTTTTAACGTAGCTCTCGCCTCAACTCTGCGTGCATTCGCTTTTCAACACTTGTTCGAGCTTCACGGATTGAGGGCGGCTCGGTTTCAAAATCGAGCTGTTGCCTCAGCGCTGCGCGCATTCGTTTTCAACAGCGTGGAGACATTTTACTGATTGAAGGCGGCTGCTTTTAACCTAACTCAAGCCTCAGCGCCAGGCGAACTCGTTTGCACGAGCTTCACGGATTGAAGGCGGCTCGGTTTCAAAATCGAACTCTCGCCTCAACGCCGCGCGCATTCGGTCTTAAAACATTGCTCGAGCTTCACGGGTTGAGGGCGGTTCGGTTTCAAAATCTACCTTTCGCCCCAGCGCCGCGCACAATCTCTTTTTACAAATGTCAACGGGTTTCACATATTGAGGGCGGCTCGGTTTCAAAATCTAGCTCTCGCCCTGGCGCCGCGGGCACTCGCTGTCCGAACTGCGTACGAGCTCACAGCTTGAAGGCGGCCCGATTTTAAAATCTAGCCATGGCCGCAATTCCGCGCATATTTTTCTTTATTTTTTCTATGTGCACGAGCTTCACGGATTGACAGCTCGGATTCAAAATCTACCTGTCGATGGCGATTCGGATTCAAAATATGGCTTCAGCTCCGCACACACTCGCTATCAACATGTGCACGAGTTTCGCGGATTGACGGCGGCTCGGTTTCAAACTCAAGTTTCCCCCTCAGAACCGGGCACATTGGTTTCTGAACATCTGCACGACCTTCACGGATTGAGGGGGGCTCGGTTTCAAAAGTTGGCTCTCGCCTCAGCGCTGCGCGCATTCGCTATAACACGTGCACGAGATTTACGGCTTGAGGGCGGCTCTGTTTCAAATCTAGTTCGCGTTTCAGCGCCGCGCGCATTCGTTTTTGACAATTTGCACGGGCTTCACGGATTGAGGGCGGCTCCGTTTCACGGATTGAAGGCGGCTCGGTTTCACGGGTTGAACAATGTTGAAATGCAATCGTAATCCTATAATACCGGTGGTTTGCATTTGATATCAGAAGAATGATCCAGGATACTATCAGCAATCGCACTCAGTAACAACACCTTATAATTCTTCGAAGGGAGCGTGCCACCGCCCAGTGCGGATTCCATTGTAACCCGGCATGAGGAATGTATTTTCATCGGCCATCCTGGGGGGCGGTCCGTCCCAGCACATCGCGCTCGCCCCGCACGGAACGATATCCTTGGCACCGCGGAACAGCGATAATAAATATTCCAGCCCGCCAAACATCGTAGGAGCGCGGAAAGCTCACAATGTCCGCCACCCGACGAAAAGATGCATTATTTCCTAGGCGATATACGACTCCTGAAACAAAGTACTGACTGCAATGCAATCGTAATGATAAAAGCCCGTGGCTATGTAATAGTGGAATGATAAAACCCTGATGAATGCAACGCGATAGTAATATGTAATAATGAAAGACATATCTAGGATACTGCCAGCAATCGCATGGGCATTGAGAAGAACTGCGAAACAATTGTTCGAGAGGAGTGTTGATCCGAAGTTTCCTTTCTCCCTCTCCGAACGGCCACCGCCCCATGCGGTTTCTATTGCAGTCCATCACAAGAAATTCGGCCGTCCTAGAACGCGGTCCATCCCAAGGCGTCGGGCCCGCCCCGGGCGAAACGATATCTTTCGCGCCGCGGAACCGCGAACGTCGATACTCCGGCCCACCATACATCGCAGGAACGCGGGGACCTCATCAATTTCCCCATCCGACGAGGCGATTAAATAGGTCCTAGTCCAATTTTGAAAACAGTAAACGCAATGCAATCGTAATCATTTTAGCGGTGGTTTATATATATATACATATATATATATAGATTCAGAGACATAACCAGACCACTGTCAGTAGTAGCATTGTTATTAAGGAGCACTGCGATATATTTGTTCGACAGGAGCTCGGATCCGAAGCTCCCTTTCTCCCTATCCGAACCGCCGTCGCCCAGTGCAGTTCCCATGGCATCTTCAAATGAGAGAGTGGATTTCCCTGGCAAGCTGGCCTCGCAGCGTTCGTTTCGAAGCCAAAAGCGCGAGGGTCGATCGGAGAGCCGGCGCGCAGAAATCCGCGGCGCCCTCTACGCCGTCATCGCAGCCGACGCCGAGGACATCAGGGCAACCTCCGGCAGCGCCACGGGCCATTGCCGTTCTGCAGACGGGCCAGGCACAACTGAATACACAAGGGAATGCACGGTCAGTGACGCGGCAATCTGTCCAACTGTTTTTGGCGACCTCAGGGGCACCGCTGGCCGCGGCGGCAGGGTCGCCGCCAGCCCCCGCAGCGGCGGCGGCCCCCCCGCCTGGGCCAGCTTCGAAGGGGCCAGCATTGGGCACGAATGAATGGGTGGGCGAACGAGGGGGGACGAAAGGCATCATTTTCAAACCCTAAACGCCCCTTCGGGCCCCCAGAAGGTCCCCATCAGGGCCTGCAGAAGCTGCAGTTTCTGCGGCCCTCGCTGCCCCCCCACCACCCCGCCCTGCTGCATCGCCCCCGATTGCTCGCCCGTTGACAACCGCAGCCGCTGGGGCCATGGGCGCGCTCCAGCCCTGCGAACTGGCGGCGCCCGCGCATCCGCTGCAAGATGCAGCAGTTGCTCGATCAGGCTCAGGTTCGAGCTACGGCGTTCCCGACGCCACGCCATGAAGATGGGGCAGGTCCCGCGGCAAAATCCCACAACGCAGGTTTTCCGCCTTGGCGACGCTCGCCCCAGCGCCGGACCTCCACGCGCGAACGCACATCGCGCATTGCGTCGACGGCTCGGGCGGGCCATCCCAGCGTTTCCAGGCGGGTCAAGGCTTTCACCCCTGTCAGGGCTTACCTTCGCGAGCGTTCGTGGCTCTGGCTACGGGCGCCCTGGGTAACTGCGCCAGCGCCAGTGTATCCTTGGCGGCGGGCACCCTTGACGCCAGGGACCTCGCGCTGGAGCTTGTCTCCTCGTTATAGCAGCCGCGCGGAGCACTCGGGTCTCCTTCGAAGGCGACGACGCGGAGGCTTTGTTCATTGCCCGCGTCGGATCCACACCAGGCCGTCACGTTTGGGAGCGTATCATACTGGATTTGTTGGTTCGGAATCTGCAGCGCTCTGCCAGGTCACCCGACGCGGCCTACGCGGCGGGGCAGAGCGCTGAAACCTAGAATGAGCTGGCGGACGCTCTCGCCACGTTTGCTATGCAACTATGAACTTTCGGCCCCCATTGCCCTCCGCGCGGGACTTGCCATCGGCTGCCGGGCTCGCCCGGGGCTAGATCTGGCAGAGGATCGCGAAAAAGATCCCCGGCGCCCTCCAGCGGCAGGGGTCCAGCTACCTGACTCCGAGGGCCTCAGCGTGAGCTTGTCTGCCTTTCCCCCCGCCCCAGAGGGCCCCTTGGACACGGCGCATCTGGGGCATGAACGCGCTCTCGCGCCACGCGTCGCCACCGCGAACATGCCCACCAAAGACACCACGGCGCTCCTCCATCGCGAAGTCTCGGGTGATTCCCTTTCTGGTCGCATGGCCCATGCGGGCTGCGCGCTCACCAAATTCCGGATCTTCTTAGCTGGCACCTTGGAGACTCACTTCCTTCGCCATGGGTACTCGACCGCATGAAGGTGTCCATGTCTTACATACGGGAACGGATCAACACCGCGGGCATGGCTGCTCTCTTCGGTTGAAGGCGAGGGCCACTTTCCTGGTGCCGAGCGGCGAACAGCCAAGGATTGCAGAGCCCTCTCCCTGCCCGCGTCGCGCAGGCTGCTTGCAGTCGCCATCCGCCACGGCAGGTCAAATTTACGCGTGGCGGTGGGAAATGGCCCGAACTGCGCGGCAGGCAAGCCTGTCCTCCAGGACTGGCTGCAGGAACGCCAGGCCAGGCGCGGGTACCATTCCCGGGGGCCGCGTCTCATTAAACGCAACTCGAACGCAAGCTTCGGTTCGACCCACCTCTCTGTCATCCTCAACCTCGATGC